AGAGTACTCTACTCTTGGAAGTAGAGTACTCTACTCTTGGAAGTAGAGTACTCTACTCTTGGAAGTAGAGTACTCTACTCTTGGAAGTAGAGTACTCTACTCTTGGAAGTAGAGTACTCTACTCTTGGAAGTAGAGTACTCTACTCTTGGATTTGGATAAGTATTTTAGTTATATAAAAAAAAATGGATCCGATGGATCCAATGGATTTTAGTTATATAAAAAAAAAATGGATCCGATGGATCTGATGGATCCAATGGATACATTGGATTTTAGTTATATAAAAAAAAATGGATCCGATGGATCTGATGGATACATTGGATTTTAGTTATATAAAAAAAAATGGATCCGATGGATCTGATGGATCCAATGGATACATTGGATTTTAGTTATATAAAAAAAAATGGTCCGATGGATCTGATGGATCCGATGGATGCAATGGATACATTGGATTTTAGTTATATAAAAAAAAAGGATCCGACGGATCTGATGGATACATTGGATTTTAGTTATATAAAAAAAAAAGGATCCGACGGATCTGATGGATCCAATGGATACATTGGATTTTAGTTATATAAAAAAAAGGATCCGACGGATCTGATGGATCCAATGGATATTGGATCCATCGGATCCATTTTTTTATATCTAAAATCCATCGGATCCATCAGATCCATTTTTTTTATATAACTAAAATTCCATTGGATCCATCGGGTCCATTTTTTTTTTATATAACTAAAATCCATTGGATCCATCAGATCCATTTTTTTTTATATAACTAAAATCCATTGGATCCATCGGATCCATTTTTTATATAACTAAAATCCATTGGATCCATTTTTTTTTATATAACTAAAATCCATTGGGTCCATCGGATCCATTTTTTTTATATAACTAAATCCATTGGATCCATCGGATCCATTTTTTTTTATATAACTAAAATCCATTGGATCCATCGGATCCATCAGATCCATCGGATCCATCAGATCCATCGGATCCATCAGATCCATCGGATCCATTTTTTTTTATATAACTAAAATCCATTGGATCCATCGGATCCATTTTTTTTTTAATAATAAATTCAGTGTTTTGGGATTTGAACCCACAAACCAAATAGTACTGTGACAATCCAGAATGTGGTCTGTAAACACATTGGCACAAGAGCTTGTTCGCCATGCGTAAATTTTTAACTAGTTTTTGGGATTCAAATTTGATGTGATTTTGAACATATACGTTACTCATTCTATGAGTAAAATATTGTTCGTTTATACATTGTTCTAGTTTCTA